TCATTTAGTTAAAGGTATTTGTTACATTAATGTGACATTTCTAATTGTCTCTATATTATTTTTGTGGGTATCTAGTCTTAAATGTTACCAGAAATTAGAGTTTCAGTTTTTGAATATGTTTCTCCCTTGATGTTAGGTATAATTTTGGGAATCAAATAATAGTTGCCAATGCCAAATAATTAACTATAGTCGACAGTCATTTAGAAACTTAAAATGTTTAGGATTTGTCAAAATTATATTCTTCTTTCATTGAACTATATTATCATATAAATCACTTGACTTAATGAAGTGAATGAAATAATTTAAATTCCATTTAGAAAAGGCAAAGTGGAAAAAAGCGTACATTGAGTATTTTCCTTTTTATTCTAGAATTTGGAAAACCCAATCATAATCTACTGAAAAATAACTTCAAATGCTATCAAAGTACCTGAAATGGTAATTGTAGATATGGGACTGGAAAATAGCAGTAGAATAAGAGCGGAAGAAAAGGTGGATCTTCCAGAATAATTTCAATAATTTAAAAAAAGGGCTGAGTCTCAAATTTTTGGGTGTCTGGATAGCATTCATTCATTCAAAAAGTATCTATTACGCACCTATTCAGTGCTATTCTGGAAGATGCCAAAATATTAAGAGAAAATCCTTAACTGGCAGTAGCAGGGAAGTATTAGACGGGCACACAAATAACATAAATGGGTACACACATAGCTAACTATGCAAGACTGGGCGTGATAAATGGCATAAGATTAATACAGTAGCTGTTATCTCTCCATCTTCCCTATATTCCATTGCTAAATCTCGGCATGCATATTTGGTTCCTGTATGAGTTTCTCCTTTCTCCCTTCAAAATGTTAATCCTAATGCTTTTAATTCTACCCTCACCTATAAAATATTTTGTTTTCTTAGTCTTTTTGTAAGTTCAAGATCTTGCTCTCTCCTCCACTTAAAAATATGTACAAGTCTCCTCAATTTAGTCACTAAAAGGGTACATGTTTCTGTCAGTCACAAATTTATTCAGGCAAAAGGCTTAACCTGTGGTTTCCACCATTTCATCTCCTACCCTTATTCTCAACATTATAAAAGCTGACTTCTCCCTCGTCAACTTTACTCAAATAGTATTAACACTTTCATAGGTTATCAACAGTCGCCTACACTGTCAAACCTAGTGTTTTCTTCTTACTTCTCTTTGGCTTTTGTAGCCACTGATACTACTGGCCACATTGATAACATTTTCTACCTTAACACCTGTGACACCATACCATCCTGGCTTTCCTCCTACATTTATGTTCATTCACTCTGTGTCTCCTCTTTCTCCCCACCCACCCCCAAATGTTGATATTCTTCAAGTTTCAGCTGCTGCCCTCTCTTTTTCTTGACAAGCTTTCAATAGTAGATGACCTACAGATGCTTAGATTATCAACTTTCTTCTTTAGATGAACAGCTCCCACCTGTGACTTCGTTTCCAATTACCAGACCTGTTTTTCTGTCTGGATGTGGATTAGTCTTCTAAAACTCAAAATATGTAAACAGAACTCACCATCTTCCTCAAAAATTGGGCTCCCTTTCTCAACTTATTTCTGTTACTAGTACCACCATTCTTCCAAGTCCAAAAATTATCTTTGATTCATTTTGTTCCCCATCCCCTAATCTGTCACCAATTCTGCTGATAGATCCTTTGTAATCTCTCTATTTTAATCTGTTATTCATCTGAGCTACACAAACATTCATCCACACATGGAGTATTCCAGGTGCTGAAAAGGGGATTAAGCCTTTCTTGTGGAGGCATTCACAGTTTAGTTCTAATAAACAAACCAACAATTATAATACACAGGGATAAAAAAGTAGACGCACTGATTTCATACCTGGACTACTGCAATAGCTTTCAAACTGATTTAACTGCTTCTAGTCTCTTTGGCGTCACTTTCAGATGTCTTTCTAAAAAACTATTTGATCATATCTTCTTGCTCAAGGATATTTCATTCTTCTCTATGGCTTTCAGGATAAAATTGTCACTCATTATCCTGTCATAAAAGGTCCTACACAGTCAGCTTCCAAATACCCTTCAAATATTATCTCTCGTTACTTCTTTACATGAACTCTGCATTCTTTTCAAGACAGTTTGCTCATGGATGTGAAAATATTTAATATTCCTGTGACACTGCTGTCATACAGAAAACCCCACCATTTCCATAAAAATCTTTTAGGATTCAGACTAAATCCTATCTCTGTAAGGTAATCTTCAATGTTTTTAAATCAAAAGTGATGTCCCTTCTTCAAACTCCTAAAGCAATTTTTACCTGGATAATTTCACAATTAGAAACTGCCTTATTTTTGTTTTCTTCGTTGTTGTCTGAATTACCATTTAATTTTTCTTATTTAATTTGTGCATCGTTCATGTTTTCTCCCCAGCCAAACTCTATACCTCTCACAAGCATCTTTATCTTTTGTACTTGTCTGCATCCAGCCACAGCACCTAGCAGCGTCTAGAACACTGTCTTTTTTTATAAGAAAGTTTTGAAACAACGGCAGAGTTTTAAAAACCTGAATTTAGAAAGCTGAGCTTGAACACTGCTGACAGAAGAAACGTGGTAGGAAAGGGCAGTACTTGTTCCAGGGACAGGCAGTAAATCAATTTGGTTGGAATGGAGGCGTGGGGGTTTTCTCCTCTAAAATGAATAATAGAATGTCAGGTGTGAACGGACAAATTAAGTTCCATAGTAAGGTGTTTTAAATTTATCTGATAGGTGATGAAGAAACCATGGAAGGTTTTTGAACAGATTAGTAACAATGCACAGTTGTATGAAGTTTCATCAAACCAGGAGTGAGCTGGGTTAATGGGAAGGCCTGAACATCAGTTAAGTGTTACTGTACAGAAGTTAAGTAGCAGATCCCAACCAGCACAAAGTACTTTTCTTGCATCTCCCCTTCTAGAGGGAAATCTGCCTTAAAATTCCTTAGGCAAAGAAAGCATAATTTGATAGGTACCAAGAGACATAGCATCTCTTGGTTCTACTCATCCTACATTCACCACAAAGCAGATTTAGTTTTCTTGTCTTTCTCTTGACATCTTCATTGGGAAAAGCATGTTGTCATTAATGGAAATTACATTAGAGATAACTATCACAAGCTATATCTCAGATAGTTTTCTTCCTCATTTCTGTGGAGGAGATTAGTAAAATTTCTGTTTATCCACAGATAGAATTGTTTGCTACCTATGGTCAGGAGAGAGGTTCAATCCTAAAAATAAGATTTGCTGACTTTCAGAGCTTAGCACTGCCACAGCAGAGCATGGGATACATTACTGTCTATTCACTCAGCAACTAAACTTATTATAGCCCTTGAGCAGAATCAGGACTCTGACTTACCTATGTTTTTATCTATAATCTAAAGGTTCCATTAGGTGAATAATTGGGAATTGACTGCCCAGAAGTCAACGTCATAATTTATGGAAATTTGCATTTTTTCTTCTAAGCAAGTTCTAACATTCTTTGTCTTTATTATCTCCATTTATCCATCTGTGGATAAACAGGAATTTGCTAATTCCCCTAATCAGAGGATGGGGCAGGGATGGGTGGGGACACTACTGTAGCACTTTTTATTTACTCATCTTTATTAATCAAATTCATTTCAGGGACAGTGGGATAATGCCCTTCCCACAAAAAACTGAGAGATAAAAACATTAATCTTGAGGATAGATAATTAGAATTCATAAAGGAATGCCAGAGCACAGAAAATATGTTTAATGATAACTCTACCTTCCTTTTCCATAATGCAGTAGGGTCTAAGTGGTTGGTTTTACTTGGGATATTTGTATTTGTTTTCTTCACTGATGTTTCTCTGTGTGTATGTATGCATGTGTCAGGGGAGGGGAATGGGAAGCAACTAGAATGAGATAGGCTTCAGAGAAATGAAGGCTTAACACATATTTCTTAAAATCATCCAAATGCCCAAGAAAAATAAGGCCATGGCAAACAAATTAAGAGTCGGGTTAATACCTAAACATAAGTACCTAGGAAGACCTGATTACAGTGACTCTTTACATCGAAACTGCAAGAAAACAAAAACAAAAACAAAAACAACAAAAAAACCCAAACAGAATTGAAAAATAAACTTAGGCTAACTATAAGAAAGATTTCAAACAATAGAAGAGATATCTTTTGGACTGGCAGAAGACTATCCATAGGTCATATAGAATATTCATGAGGAATAAATTAGAAAATTAGAACATCAACTGAATTTTGTCCATTTATAATAAAGGCATACTTATATCTAGGAAAAAGGATATAAATTATAGAAAAGATAAATTTGGAGGCTATAACTAATCTAACAGAAGTATTCACAAATAGGTTTTTAAATTAGTATCAACCTCTTCTATCACATTTAAGGTATGATTGGATTTACAATCTAACTTTCCTAAGAATTTATTGTATCAATAACCTCATGATAAACAATTGCTTTACTTAAAAATTTATTAGAAAGCATTCATAAATGCAAAGTTAAAATAATGGGAGGTCCATGTGTCCTATTTTATACAATCAGTAGAAATCATGTATGAATATTACAAATATTTCACACCTTGCATGAAAGCTACTTCTCAATTTGTACTTTGGCTTTTCATGCACACAAAGCCTACTCCCACTCTTACACAGCATGCTTCACCACTGTATTGAGAGTAAGGTAAAAGAATAATATTATTTTGGTTGGCAGAAGTTGTCTAAATACCACGAACAGCTGGCCAGATGACATGGTAAGCCCTGAATGGAGCTAGCACTCTTTGTTAAGGCAAAGCAATCTCTCTCTTATTTCTCATAGCTAGTGTTGGTGGCACTATTTCTATAGACATAAACAAAATTTGAAAAGCAAATGACTTAAACATATTCCCTTAATTCCTTTGCTCCTTTTAAAAATACAAAAGTGGATTTAGAGAATTTGGGGTCCTATTCCCAAAAGTAAGAAAAGTTCGGAGAATAAAGGGTTAAAAGAACAAGCAAGCCCTACCGTACCCAGAAATGACAGAAGGCTCTTCTCTTCTTCGGTGCTACTATCCAACCACTCCGCCACATCACCGGGGGAAAGGAGACTCATTCTCCAGCCAGAAAACTTTTCCATACAGAGCACAATTACTGAATGATGAAGTGAGAAAAAAAGGATACAGAGTCTAAATTCTTGGGGGTCCAACACTTAAATTGCTGGCTAGGCAGTAATGATGAAAGAGAAAATGTGATCCTCCCTCCACTCTGAATTCTGTCTCTGTGACATCAATCTAATACAACCAGGGGGAGGGGGAAAGAAATAGGGTTAAAAGAAGGTGGTAGAAGAGAGGAAAAGGGAGATTTGTCCTTCTGTCTCTTGGTGTTATGCTTTAGTCTGAAAGAGAAAGCCAGGATAACACTGGATAATGAAGTGTGTTTAATGACAGGAAAAAGCATAGGAAAAATATAGAATAAAGACACTCAAAGAAAAAGAAACAGGTTCCTACACTGGAAGCAGCTTAGATAACCAGACAGCACAATAGCTAATCAGTTAAGTAAAGCATATCAAACAAAAACAAAGACAAAAGAACAAATTCAGCATTTTGTTTTGTTTTGAGGAGAAAGGTTTTCAAATATCCTTTCAGTCCTCTGCAAGAACTGCAGCCCCCAACCCTTCCTGCTTTAGCTATTTCAACAGCCTCCTTTACGAAGATTTCCTGCAAGAAAAGGCAGGTTGATAAATCTGTGAATAGGAAGCTCTCATCCCTCCTTTCTTCTCCTCCTCCTCCATTCCTCCCCCCACCTCGCATGGCGACTGCACAGATCGACAATAATGGAATCTGTAACTGACTGCCAACAGCAGCATTAAGGATATTACAAGTCCACTTCATAAGAATTCGAGCTGGTGGTCGGAACTTGGGGCAATTCTGGGCTTCTAGTCAATAGCTGTCTTTCTTTGCGAGGAAAAAAAGGAAGCGTGTGTGTGTGTGTGTGTGTGTGTGTGTGTGTGTGTGTGAAGAAAGAAGGCTGAAATCTGAAAGAAGTAAGACAAGTAAGCTTGTTGGGCTGAAGGTACAGAGATCAACATAGAGAATGAATGTTCTGCAACTCCCGTCATACACTGTCATTGTGAAGGAGTCAGATCCAGATAAATTTTTTACATCACTTACATTACATATTTACATGGTTTGACTTAAGATTACTTCACAGGTTTACACCTTACTAACAGGCAGAGAAAAATCAAGCAGAAGAGGTATGTTCACAGATCCATAAATCATTAATATCCTTGTTCTCTGGAGATTGATTAGGCTTGTTGCTAGGAGAAAACAATACTCTTAATAAAAGATAGAGCTTTTTTTCTCCTGCATTAGCAAAACGTTAGCTCTTTTCCTAAGAAACTGGTCTTTGCTTCTGTTCTTGTAGTCTGCTTTTAGTGACAGATTCTCATTGCTTAAGAGTTACTACCTCCTTAACATATCCTGAATCTATAACCTTCTCTCCATGTTTACTTCAGTCTTTATTATTTTTAATCTACACTTGAGTTCATTCTGACTGTAGGTTCCATGAGGACATGGACCTTGTTTTAGATTAATCTTTATAATCCTAATGGCGAGAACAAGTGCTTGGCATTTAGATGGAGCTCATCAAATATTTTTTTTTTTTTTGAGACAGAGTTTCGCTCTTGTTACCCAGGCTGGAGTGCAATGGCGCGATCTCGGCTCACCGCAACCTCCGCCTCCCGGGTTCAGGCAATTCTCCTGCCTCAGCCTCCTGAGTAGCTGGGATTACAGGCACGCGCCACCATCCCCAGCTAATTTTTTGTAGTTTTAGTAGAGACGGGGTTTCACCATGTTGACCAGGATGGTCTCGATCTCTTGACCTCGTGGTCCACCCGCCTCGGCCTCCCACAGTGCTGGGATTACAGGCTTGAGCCACCGCGCCCGGCCTGAGCTCATCAAATATTAACTGAAGTTTTAGATGGCTGCTCTAGAAGTTTTTTTTTTTTTTTTTTTGAGACGGAGTTTCGCTCTTGTTACCCAGGCTGGAGTGCAATGGCGCGATCTCAGCTCACCGCAGCCTCTGCCTCCTGGGTTCAGGCAATTCTCCTGCCTCAGCCTCCTGAGTAGCTGGGACTACAGGCACGCGCCACCATGCCCAGCTAATTTTTTGTAGTTTTAGTAGAGACGGGGTTTCACCATGTTGACCAGGATGGTCTCGATCTCTTGACCTCGTGATCCACCCGCCTCCGCCTCCCAAAGTGCTAGGATTACAGGCGTGAGCCACTGCGCCCGGCCTGCTGTAGAAGTTTTAACAGGTCCAATACTGGCAGGAGATGCCAGGCTAAATATTTTAGGACCTCATTTAAAAATTAACCATTTTGACAATTAAAAGAAGTTAACAGTAACAGTACCACACACTTGAGAAAATAAAAATTAATCAAAAAGGTATTATGAATTCATATGTTTAAATGAGTTTCTATTACTCACAATAACTATAAAAAATTGAAAAGTAGTATAGAAAATCAGTGTAAAAGACATTTTATTGAAATCCACAGGCTATGCATGCTTAATATCTAAGCATAGACTGATAATTCCTTTGTAATGACTTCATGACACATCAGTATCTCTGGAACTCTGGGATTGGAAATCAGTAGCCTACAGGATTACATTCAAACTTCCTGATGTGACAATGCTTCCGCTTTTTTCTCATCAGGGACCCCCAGCCTCCTCTAGGCTCAGCCATTCTGTATTATTTACCTCACTTCCATGCCTTTATATGTTCCACTGCAAGTGGCAGGAAAAAAGTCATTTGTTCATTTGTCTAGAACAACTAGACAACTGTTTTGTTTTGTTCAGCTGTCTAAAATATTCTCTGAGACACAGTAGAAGCTCAAAGATTTTTGTTGAATATCTTTGGTACCTCTTGTGTGGTATCACTCTACCATATACATCTGACAATATTGAACTGTTCTATTGACACTCAGCTCAAATGTCACCTTTCCAGGTCTTCCCTCATATCTTAAGGTAGAATTAATGGCTCTCATCTCTGCATTTTCATTGCTATTACTATTATTTTATTGAAATTACTTGTTTACATAATGTTTTTTCACAAAAACAAAATTTTCATTCTACCAAGTTTTAACAAATTTTAACACTTAGCATATAGATTTATAACTGTTTACTGAATTATTATAATTCCATGTATTGCAGATATTTTAATACTAAAGAACCTCACATATTCCTGATTTAAGGATTCATATCATTGATCTTCACATTTAACAATCAAAATACTTTTGTTAAGGAAAAATTAAATCTTATTTATTTTAACAAAGAAAACACTATATAGTTAGAAAGGTTATCAACATAATCCAGCCCTGCAAATTTGTCCTCTATATATTAAGAGTTGAAAATAAGGCACCCAGGCCAGCTGCTGTGGCCCATGCCTGTAATCCCAGAACTCTGGGGGACTGAGGCAGGCAGATCACTTGAGGTCAGGAATTCAAGATGAGCCTGGCCAACATGGTGAAACACTGCTTCTACTAAAAATACAAAAAAAACTAGCCAGGCGTGATGGCACACGCCTGTAATCCAGCTACTTGGGAGACTGAGGCAGGAGAATCACTTGAACCCGGGAGGCTAATTTTTGTATTTTTTGTAGAGGTGGGGTTTCACCGGGTGTGGTGACACATGCCTATAGTCTCAGCCACTTGGGAGTCTGAGGCAGGAGGATTGCTTGAGCCCAGGAGTTTGAGGCTGCAGTGAGCTATGACTGTGCCACTGGGCTGAAGCCTGGGTGACAGAGTGGGGTCCTGTTTCTATGGGGGAAAAAAAGAAAAAATGCTTGACTATAATGTTCTACATAAAAAACAAAATCCCATGCATTTTGGAAGTTTATTATGGTGCCTTATGTGTATTAAGTACTTACTATTTATTCATTATTTACTCAAAAATATAGAAAGTATCTGGAGAATGCTTGGTGACTGACAGAGTTCCCATTTGAGAGCATTTGCATTTCTTGTGTATATGCATGTGTCTGTACATATGTGTATATATGCATGTGCTATTTTCTGGGCTGCAATTTACTGTTTACTAGGCACTTCACTAAGTGCTTTATACATGTTATCTCAGTTAAAATCCTTCATCAACAACCACGTGAGATAAGTATTCTATTCATTTTCCAGATGAGACACCGTAAATCATAGAACTCAACCTGTCCAACAGGAAATGAAATTTAAACTTCTGAAGGTTTGCTCATGGTTCTCTACTATACTATTCCATATTCCACAAAGACCAATTTAGGCAGGGGTCAGTAAACGCACTTTTTCTGTGGAGAGCCAGATGGTAAATATTTTGAGTTTTGTGGGTCATATAATCTGTTGCAACTACTTTAACTCTGCTGTTATAGCACAAAAGCAACCAAAGAAAATACGCAGACTAATGGGCATGGCTGTGTTTCAATACAAATTTATTTACAAAGACCGTGGCCATACTTAAATGCTTTAGGTCAGCACTATCCATTCAGGCAACATATTTTCAGTACTTAATGTATGCCTGGATATCTACCAAGTCCTAATCATTGAAAAGTAAAATAATTATTATCTGCCTGGGCCAAAACATTTTTTATTTTCATTTTAATAACTGAATAATTGTCTTTACTATTTTAATTTCGAGACACAAACTATTGCTTTCCTTCTCCTTTAGTTTCATGGTCCCACGAGGTATTTAATTTTTTTTTTTTTTTTTTTTTTTTTTTTTTTT